TTTAAAGAAACATAAAACTATTCCTCTTTTATAAAAAGAAAATGAATTAAACATTTCTAATAGTAATTATACGTATCATTTTTATTATCGAAACAGAAATTCCTTTTGGAATTGGAAAATTAATGTAATTATTATTGAGAAGATTTACAATACTATTTTAAAATATTTCTTATAACGTGTCATTATTGCAGTTGGAAATAATAATGATTGTTTTCATCGTGGTTATTTTTTTCCATTTGATTGGAAATCATATAATTGGTTCCAATGAACGGATGCACAAAAGTTATAATTGGAAGAATCTATAAATCTTCGATACGTAATGTTTTTATTCCATTTCAATTATTTCATTTGTTGGAATTTCGTTACGCTTTATAGAAATTCTAATAATATTTGTGAAAATATTTTTCTTTGATGACATGTTTGATAAGAATAAAAGAAAAATATTTAAAGAGTAAACATAAAATTGATTTCATATTTATCAACGTTTATCTTCCGTCATAGTTCAAAATATGATTTCTTTATCTAAAAAATCTTATGAAATATATATTTGTATTTGTACGATAATAAATATTAATTAAATAGAGTTGAATTTGGCGGTTATTCTATTAGTGATACCAACTGCTTAACTCTAAAATATAGTTATAAAATATAGTTTCCACTAGAATATCATGTTTATCAACATGATAGTGACTAAAGCTAACCAAAACGTGTAACAACAATAAACAATAAATATTGTATATTAATCAACAATGGGAAAAACATCAAAAGATAAACGAGATATATATTATCGACGAGCAAAAGAAGAAGGATGGAGAGCAAGGAGTGCTTTTAAATTGCTTCAAATAGATAACGAGTGTCATGTTTTAGATGGTTCGTATACATATGTAATAACTTTTATATTGTGAAAATAAAATACAATGCTTTATGCTTTACAAAAGGAGTAAACAAAGCTGTGGATTTATGCGCCGCACCCGGTAGTTGGAGTCAAGTTTTATCACGAAGATTAAAGTATGTTTTAATTTATTTACAAATTCAAATAGAAAACTTTTTGTATTTAAATAATAAATATATTTTTTTTTCATGGACAGTGAGAATTATAAAAAAGCTTTGGAAACAGGAAATGCAATACCTCCAAAAATAGTTGCAGTTGATTTACAAGCTATGGCACCATTGGAAGGAGTGATTCAAATTCAAGGAGACATTACGAATATTGATACTGCAAAACAAATTATCTCTCATTTTGATAATGAGCAAGCTGATTTAGTAGTTTGCGATGGAGCACCTGATGGTAAATTTAAATTGGAATAATATTTTTATTCGTGAACATTAATAGTATTTAATAATTAATTATTTATAGTGACAGGTTTACATGATATGGATATTTATATCCAATCTCAGTTATTATTAGCAGCTCTGAATATTACTACTCATATACTAAGACAAGGAGGCACATTCGTTGCAAAAATATTTAGAGCTAAAGATGTGACTTTGCTATATGCTCAACTAAAAATATTTTTCCCCTATGTCTATTGTACGAAACCTAGCAGTTCTCGTAACTCTAGTATTGAAGCATTTGTAGTTTGTAAAGATTATTCACCACCAGAAGGTTATAAACCTCATATGATGAATCCTCTCTTAACACATAAGCCATGTGATTTTAATGACCTTACAGGAATTAATAGAGTTATTGTTCCATTTGTTGTTTGTGGTGATCTTAGTCAGCCTGATTCTGATACGTGTTATCCATTGGATGTAAGTTATATATTCGTTTTTACCACGTGAAATTAAATATTTATTTATTTATTTATTTATTTTTCATTTATTTCAGTTCGAAGGGAAAGAATACACTTATCACGAACCAGTGCAGACACCGATTTCACCACCTTACAAAGAAGCTCTCAGTTTGATGGAAGATAGAGATACTGATTTCAGAAGATATGATGTTAATGTAGTTGTAGATAATCTAAGTTCAATGACTATTGAGGACTTTAAAAAACAAGCGAAGCAAAAACATAAAGAGATAAATGAAACTAAAAGGACCGAATTGCAAAATAATAAAAAAGATGATAGCGAGGAAGATATATTGGGACTTGATAAGTTAATGTCTACCGAATTATTTGATGAATCTAAAAATAAAGATAATGATAACATGTAAAAATGTTATGATTTTATATTATACATATAATTTAAGTTATAAATGTTTTTAATATATTAATAACAACCTGTATGCATATATCTTTGTTTTTCTAAAAATTATTTTTATTCTATATCCTTATAATCCATAGAAACAGTCAATATTTAAGAAATGAAATTCGAATGACTTATTTATTATCAAATTTTTATTTTTCCGTTAATAATATCAATATCAACTAAATTAACTATTCTTATATATATATGTGCAATATTTCAAATAAATATCACGTGGCTACAAACAATTTTTTTCTACATATGCTCGATATTGTGATGATGATATACGATTATATGATAGTAAACATTACTGCGTTACAGTTGCGACCTCATCTAATTATGATTCTAACTGAGGTATCTATCCATAGACTTTTCTAGTTATACTTCTCAATATTTCAAGCGACAAATGTACAATCTGTATTTGTTATTATAAAAATTTCATATCGAACAGATAAGCCGAATTTGTTACGTGTGCAAAAAACTATTTTGCTGCGCGCAATGCCGTGAACGTCATGAGGAGAAGAAACACACAAAACGTTATCCGAACTGTCCATTCTGCATGAATCAGAAACTTCCGTTAAAATTCTTCGAGGATAAGGCACTTTTATGTCATATAGTAATAACACATCTACCTCTTCATTGTTGCTTGTGTGGTGAAGTTTTCAAGCAGAGTAAGGATTTCGAATCGTTCGGTAATTATTTTTATTT